TGAGAAGATAATTCAACTTGTTTTAAAATACTGTTTATAAATTATTTCTACCATATTTCTAAACTAGAGGCCCGGTGCACAAAATTCATGCACTGGAGGAGGGTGTACCTCAGCCCAGCCTGCACCCTCTTCAATCTGGGACCCCTCAGGGTATATTGGTCTGCCAGTTTAGGACAGATCCCACAGGGATCGGGCCTAAACCAGCAGTTGGACATTCCTCTCACAATCTGGGACCACTGGCTCCCAACTGCTCGCCTGCCTGCCTGCCTGATTGCCCCTAACCACTCCCCTGCCAGCCTGATTGATGCCAAACTGCCCCCCTAATGGCCCGGTCGCCCCCAACTTTCGTCCCCTGCAGGCCTGGTCCCCCCCAACTGTCCTCCCTTCAGGCCTGGTCACCCCCAACTGCCTTCCCCTGTAGGCCTGGTTGCCCCCAACTGGCCTCCCCTACAGGCCTAGTCCCCCCAACTGCCCTCCCCTTCAGGCCTGGTCACCCCCAACTGCCTGTTCTCTCCCAACTGCCCTTCCCTGCAGGCCTGGTTGCCCCAAATGCCCTCCCCTGCAGGCCTGGTCACCCCTAACTGCCCTCGCCTGCTGGCCTGGTCACTTTCAACAGCACTCCCCTGCCACCCATCTTGTGACCCCATGGGTGTGGTCATTTTTGACCACATGGGGGTGGCCATCTTGTGCGAGAGATTGATGGTCAATTTGCATATTACCTCTTTATTATATAGGATTAGGGTTTTAAGATTTAAATGTTCAAAACTTTAACACTATAATCATTTTAAGAAGACCTGCATATTTGGGAGTCATCAGGGGAATAGTGATCGTTGAAGATATAGGCACAGAATAGATTAGTTGTCTAGGCAGTTATTTATTGGAGAGATGAGCAGAGTGCTTATAGCAGCCAGTGAAATAAACAGCATTAGTAATAGGTGTTAGAGACTGAAAAACCTGCTGTCGCCCTGCCAGTGTGGCTCAGTTGGTTGGGCATCATCCCGTGCCAGCTCAATCCCCAGTAGGGGGCGTGTAGGAAGCAGCCAATTGATGTTTCTCTCTCTCTCCTCTCCCTCTCTGAAATCAATTAAAAAAATATTTTTTAAAAGAAAGGAATAAAGAACTACAAAAACAATCAGAAAAAAATTAGTAAAATGGCAGTAACTATGAAAGTATCAGTAATTACCATCCAGTCCCAGACACTGTTATTTTCTTGCCTGGGGTTTTAGAAAGAGCATCCAGCCACTTCTCTGCTTCTATTCCCATCTCCCTCTCATCGGTTCTCCACACAGTAGCCACAGTGAGTGACAAAACATAGCTTAGGTCATGTGACTTCCGTGCAAACCTCAAATGACTCGATAATCAAATAGAATCCGTAGAGCTTGCTGTCCACCATACCTTGTTTTTTCTCCACAGCACTTACTGTCATCTGCTGTGCTAGGAATTTACTTGCTCCCTTGCTGGTTAACTGCCTCCCTTCATTAGAATGGACTCTATAAAGGCAGTGATTTATTTTGTTTACCCCTATATCCTGCAACAGTGCATGGCATGGGCACATATGCATTTAGTAAACATTTGTCAAATAAATACATTAAAAGTGCACCATTTGATTGAAATGCAAACACGTTGATGCTCAGCTGTAGTTCAAGTCTGTGGAGTTGCATTACCTTTTATTTGCATGGTCTTTCACCTTACTTATAATTTAATCCTCACAGCCACAGATCAGTGTCACAAGGGAGGAAACAGAGAGGCTCAGGGAAGTCAGTTGAATGAACCAAAGTTAATAATTGATAACTGATAACTGATAACTGAGAGACGGGTGCTTTTTCCATTACACTACAGAGGTCCCGGTGTTTATCTTCATTGCATCCTTTTATTTTATTTTAAATCCTCACTGAGGATATGCTTATTTGGGAAAGGGACAGACAGACAGACATCGATGTGAGAGAACATTGATTAACTTGCCTCCCATACATACCCCACCAGGAGTCAAACCCACAGCCTAGGTATGTGCCCTGACTGTGAATTCAACCTGCCACCTTTCAGTATTTGGGACGACACTCCAACCCACGGATCCCCCTGGCCAGGACTTGAGTGCACCCTTTTAAATGTCCTTATCCTCTGCAGGACAGGGGCTCCGGGTGCCGTCAGGTGTGCCCCAGTTAAAATAACGGGGCAGAAAATGCTGAGTGCACCTCTGATTTCACACAGGTTTTGGTGGAAGTTCAGTTTCAACACTGTTACTGAGACAGTTTCCACGCAAAAGCCTGTGCATCCCCCTTGAGTGTCAGCACCATCTCAGTTATTGCAAAGCTCTTGCTCCTGGGGAAGTGGGCACTAATTAATTCAAGTAAATTCAGCATCCTGTCTGTTTTAAAACAACTTTTAATAGGACTGATGACACCAGAATTTATGAGAAATATCTTCTTACATGATTTTACTAGTTATTTAAGATTCATATTCTTTAAAGACATCATTGTCAAAATGATATTGAAATGCACCAAAACAATACATATCCTGCAACCGTGCGTGGCTTGGATGCACGCCTATATCCTCTCACTGCTGGAAGAATATCACTTTGCAGCGCTTGCCTCTTCCTGGAATAGAAGGAAGCTGCTAATAAGTGTTTCCCTCCCTTTCTAGCAGCTTCCTCCCAGCGGGCGCTTTCCTAGTTGCCCTGGATCCACTCCTCACTCAGCTTCTCACCTTCCAGCCTTTCGCGCACCTGGTTTGGACAGTAAATTAGGTAGGTGAGCTTCAAATCAGAGTTCATGTTGAAATGTCTCTTATTAACTATGACATGTTAGAGACAGGGTTATCGTCCCTTATGTAGTCATCTTTTTTTAAGTTTCAAATTTTTTATTTAAAATTTCTTATACTTTTTTCTTCTTGGAACATATTTCTCATTTTAAAAAATTACACCTCTAATTTCTTTACATATCACATCAAGTTTCTGCTGAAAGGATGTAGAATATGTTTTCACCAGCTTGTCGTAATGTGAGGAATATGTTTTTCTTGCCTGTAAGAGCTGCCGTGTGACTGCAGTTTCTGCAGTGTCTCCTGCTGGTTGTTGTCATGGATAAGCTGCCCTCTCAGCCACAGATGCACAAACCCTGTGTGCACAGACCCAGTGTGCACAGACCCAGTGTGCACAGACCCAGTGTTCACAGACCCAGTGTGCACAGACCCAGTGTGCGCAGACCCTGTATGCACAGACCCTGTGTGCGCAGACCCTGTGTGCGCAGACCCAGTGTGCACAGACCCTGTGTGCAGAGACCCAGTGTGCACAGACCCAGTGTTCACAGACCCAGTGTGCACAGACCCAGTGTGCACATACCCTGTGTGCACAGACCCAGTGTGCACAGACCCAGTGTGCACAGACCCAGTGTTCACAGACCCAGTGTGCGCAGACCCAGTGTGCGCAGACCCTGTATGCGCAGACCCTGTGTGCGCAGACCCTGTGTGCACAGACCCAGTGTGCACAGACCCAGTGTTCACAGACCCAGTGTGCACAGACCCAGTGTGCACAGACCCAGTGTGCACAGACCCTGTGTGCACAGACCCAGTGTGCACAGACCCAGTGTGCACAGACCCTGTGTGCACAGACCCAGTGTGCACAGACCCAGTGTGCACAGACCCTGTGTGCACAGACCCAGTGTGCACAGACCCGGTGGTGCACAGAGCTGGTCTTATGAGCTCGTCCAGGTAGCAGGTCTGCTGTTTCTATCCAGCCATATTGTGATGGGTTCGAAAGCCCCATTGTTTAGAAAGATCTTGAAATTACATTTTTTGTTTTGTCAGATAATCTAGTTAATTACTATAGACTTCATGTATATTTTGCTACTTTATAAAAATATGTACATATATAAATTTATAGATGCTAAAACTATTTTAATCTTATTCAATGTTTTATTTTTTTAATATGTTTTTGTTGATTTCAGAGAGGAAGGGAGAGGGAGAGAGAGATAGAAACATCAATGATGAGAGAGAATCATTGATGGGCTGCCTCTGCACACCCCCTACTGGAGATGGAGCCCACATCCCTGGCATGTGCCCTTGACCAGAATGGAACTCAGGACCCTTCAGTCCGCAGGTCGATGCCCTATCCACTGAGCCAAACCAGCCAGGGCATCTTATTCAGTGTTTTAGAAGGTATTGCTTAATAGTATCATAAACATCTAGTGTAGTGGGGTAGATGTTCTTAGTAACATGTATATGAGCTCTGATGAGCAGAATGGCTGGCACTGTGCCTTCCCTGTGGGAAGTTGCACTTGTATCCATCCTCCTTCCCTGGACTATTGCTGTGCTCGGGTTTTTCACCCTTTTAGCCGGTGGTGCACAGACCACTACCCGGTCAGTCCCCTAAAGCCCAGCTCTGAGCTCCTCATTCTCCTGCTCAGAACTAATGCTGATGTCGTGTAGACGCCTCAGCTCTGTCCATTCTGTCACCAGCTTCTCTTTCTCCTCATCCTTTCACTCGTTTTTACACGCGTCCCTGGCTCCCACCAGACCTGTTGTTCATGTTTACCTTGTACTCAGGCTCTTGCTGTCCTTACCTGTTTATATTGTGTCTATTTTAATTTGCTATTTACATCCCCTGTAAAGTTTTCCTGAACTATTTAAGGCGTAGAATGACCTCTCCCTGATATGTTCTAGTTTATGTATGCTCTCTAGCTATTTAAACATCGTGTCTTGATGGATTTCATCTTTGACTTTGAATAGTTTAGTTCTATGATAAACACTTGGTAAATGATACAAAATGTACAGGCAAATCTTATCCTTTAAGGACTTTCTCTAAACAGTAACTGTATTTTAGTTTTATGTGTACATGGTCACATATTGGAAATGTATACCTCCAAAGACATTTTGCTTTGCTAAGCAACCCATGATGTGTTTTTATTATTATTATTATTATTATTATTATTATTATTGTTATTATATCTGCTAATTGTTAAACATTAATAATGTTGGGTTCCATATTCTCAATTTCCCTGCAGGGTACATCTGCTCAAAGCCATTTCTACAGTGTTGAGCAGTGTTCTGGGACCTCTCTACCTGCTCACTTACAGGGAAGAAAAGGTGAAGGGCAAGCCGGGTTCCATGCCTTGAACTAGCACATCTGTGTTCATCTGTGCACATCCGTCGCTTCCTTCCATCCCTCACTGTTTCCGGAACTGGTGAGTTTGTTACTTGTTGGGCTAAGCTGAGGTAACTCTTTTGCTTTTTTTTGTCTCATGGAAATTGTGACTTATATACAGGAAAAAGTTAATGTATGTTCTTTTTGACCATCCTGCTCTCAGCTCACACATTTAATCCTTTAACCCAGTTGTGTCCTGGGAGATGTAACCCGAGAGCCGCCTAGTACTCAGATGTAGTGTTGAGCTGAAGGACTTGAGGAAACGTTGTGAGTGGGAAGGTATGGAAAGAGTGTGAGGAGAGGAAAAATGTGTGGGTTTTCCCTGCTTCCGTTTCACCAGCAAAAGTAGTAAAGAGTTGTACACAGCACCAAGTCTCCTGTAGACCTTTGGTATAACATAGATATTTTTAAGGGGAATTGGATTAGAAAATATGTTGAGGAAATTCTAGGGAAAACTTCTTAGAACTTATATAACTATCAGTATCATGTAAGATATCATGCAGTGGGTAGTATCAGCCACATTAAATGCTGTATTTGGGTAGTTGAAGGAACAAAAGTATAGGCATATATGGTACATACGTTTTTAATGATTTCAGCTACTCAGAATTCTGGTGGATCCCAGTGATTGAGTTACCACAATTAAAACCGGTTTTGAATCCCCATAGCCCAGTGCAACACTCGATATGGTAGGTGCTGAAGAAATGTCGGGGCTGGTGGCAGCATGGGCTCCTTCAGATGATAGGAAATAAGCCTGTCCCTCGAGGGTCTGTCATGGTTTGTGTTGTGTTTTGGTTCATGCTGAGAAGTGAACAGGAATGGTAATGTGTGAACTGTTTCTCACCAGGACGCCGCCCTGCTGAGGCGGTGCTGAGCGCTAACATGACCGCCTCCTTGTTGGCTCGGTACAGCATACCACTGGTAAGAGTTTTTAAACTATATAGTGTCAGAATTTAGGTTGAAATGATTATGTTCTTTGCTTTTCTGGGCTCTGGTTAATAGATTTCTAACAGGCATGTGAGTTGAGAAGAAATAAAAACCAAAAATAATTCAGGCAGTTGTTCTTCAAATACAGATAGTGAGCCCTTTATGACAGTGAGGGTGAGGGGAGGCAGAAGGGAGGGCACTCACTGTTTCCCTCTGATCTTCACCCAGGACCTCTGCGGTCAGTGCTCTGCGGAGGCCAGCCAATGCCCTAGCAGCCTGCCCCAGGGACCGCAGTGCTAGCCAGTGGCCATGAAGAGTTTCCTGGCACCGTTGGACTTTCAGTCAGTGAGTCGAGTAGCAGTGGAAATGAATGGCAATGGGGATTGTTAAATGGTCACTTCTTTGAGATACATCAGTGGTAGGAGTGTGCAAATTAAGATTTCTCCTGCGACACCAAGAAACTGGGAAAGTTATTTAATCACATCCCTAAGTAATTAGAAGCTCCATGCCTTCATTAAGAACCCAAAATAATGCTTGCACCATGTGCAGGTAAATGACAGCAGGGACATGCAAAAGTTGTTTCCTAGTTCAGACTCAGAAAAATGTCATTTTTATTGGTTGAAGAGAAAAAATTCCCATAATAATTTTGTGATAATGTTCTCATTAAGAGCTGTGAGGGAACTCGAGAAGCCCAGAGCTCTCATAAAGTGTCCTGTTATTTCCATATCCTCCTCAAAACCGTTTTATCATAAAACTAACAAAATGCTCAGCCCTTTTATCTGGGGATTCTCAGTGACATTAAACACATTCAGATGAGCCTCATGCCAAAAATATTGTATGTCCAGAAATCTACATAGCTTGCATTTGATAAGTTTTATTCAAAGAAACTACATCTAAGTTACTTTGGAGGTTGGTTTGTAAAGCAGTGCAGAGGTATAGGAGAATAAGTTCATCTTCTAACCATTCTTTAATGAGAGGTAATTGTCCACTCAACCACTGGTGATGGTCTCTTGTTCCATCTCTGCTAGGATGAGCCTCTGATACAGATGCTGCATTCTACACAACCTTGACAAAGTCTTCCATTTGAGTGGAAATAGAAAGGTGACTCATTCCCCTTCCAAATATGTTCTGAGCTCCTGCTAGGCACAAGCCCTTGGATAAGTACTGAAGGGGATACAGCATTGAATCACTTGCAAAACCTGACTTCATGAGTTTATGCTCTGGTAGAAGAGATAAAGCAAGATCCTCAACACTGATAATACAAGATGGAGAGAGGGGGGTACTTGTAAATGCCTAAAAGACTTCTGGAAGACTATAGAAGACACTGTTAAAGTTGCGTGGGAAAAGTGGTTGGGGTCCAGGAGAGAGAGATTATATCATCCAACGACAGCAGAATACTAGGCCACAAGCACACCTTAACAAATTTGAAAGAATAGAAGTAAACAATGTATACTCTTAGATCAAAATGAAATTAACTAGAAAGCAGTAACAAAAGATAACTGGAAAATCCCAAACAATGTGAAGATTAAACAACACACTTTTCAATAATACATGGAATAAGGAATCACAAGAAATTTAAAAATATTTTGAATTAAATGAAAATGAAAACCAATTTATCAAAATTTGTGGAATATAATGAAAATAGCTACTTGAGGGAAATTTATACCATTAAATGCCTATGTTAGAAAAGGAGAAAGATCTAAAATCAATAATCTAAGTTTCCACCTTAGGAAACAAGAGAAAGAAGAGAATATTAAATCCAAAGTACAAAGAAGAGAAATAAAAGCCAATTACAGCAGAAATCAATGAAATTGAAAACAGGAAATCAGTAGGAAAAAATCAACAAAACCGAACTCTGGTTCTTTGAAAGATTAATAAAATCAATAATTCTCTGAAATCTTGCCATTTGTGACAGCATGGATGGACCTATAGAGTATTATGCTAAGTGAAATAAGCTAAATAGAGAAAGACAAATACCATATAAAACTATTTATATGTGCAATCTAAAGCAGCAGTCGCCAACCTTTCAGACCACTGATCTAAAGAACAAAATTAACAAAATAGAACAGATTTATACATACAGTGGGACCTTGACTTATGAGTGTCCCGACTAACAAGTTTTTTAAGATACCAGCTGTCTCTCGGTCGATTTTTTGCATTGAGTTGATAGAGTAATTTGAGTTAATGAGCTCCTTAACAAGCTCCTTAACAAGCTCAGTCTCGGAACGAATTAAACTCGTAAGTCAAGGCCCCACTGTATAGAGAAAAAACCGATGAAGGCCAGAGGATACGGTTGTTGGGGGACGAGGTAAAAAATGTAATGGGATTAAGAAATACTAATTGGTAGTTACAAAATAGGCATGGGGCTGAAAGGAAAAGCATAGGGAATATAGTTAGCAATCTATACTAATAAAAGGGTAATATGCTAATTAGACTGGACCTCTTCCAGACATCCTTCCAGATAAAGCTGCGGTGGCGGGGGACAAGGCAGAGACGGTTAGGGGTGATCAGGCTGGCAGGGGAGGGCAGTTAGGGGCGATCAGGCCAGCAGGGGAGGGCAGTTAGGGGTAATCAGGCCGGCAGAGGAGGGGAGTTAGGGGCAATCAGGCCAGCAGGGGAGGGGAGTTAGGGGGCGATCAGGCTGGCAGGGGGGCAGTTAGGGGGTGATCTAGCTGGCAGACAGAGGCGGTTAGGGAGCGATCAGGTTGGAAAGCAGAGGCAGTTAGGGGTGATCAGGCCAGCAGGCAGAGGAGGTTAGGAACAATCAGGCCAGCAGGGTAGCAGTTAGGGGCATCAGGCCAGCAGGCAGAGGTGGTTAGGGATGATCAGGCAGGCAGGCAGGCAAGCGATTAGGAGCCAGCAGTCCCGGATTGCAAGAGGGATGTCTGACTGTCTGAAACCAGCAGTCAGACATCCCCCGAGGGGTCCCAGATTGTAGAGGGTGCAGGCCGGGCTGAGGGACCCCCCCTCCCATGTACGAATTTTGTGCACCAAGCCTCTAGTATTGTAATAACTACCTATGGTGGCAGATGGACACTTGAATTATTAAAGGGAATACTTTGTAACTTATAGGAATGTTTACTTACTGTGATATACATCTGAAACTGATACAAAAAAAGTGTTAAATGCAAGCTGTAATTGAAAAATAAAAAAATAAAATCAATAATTTTCTAGCCAAACTATGAAAAAGAGAGAGAAGTTATAAGTTACTAATATTAGAAACAAAAGAGGGTATATCATTACAGCACCTATGGGCATCCTATCTAATAAAGAGGAAATATGCTAATTGACCCTCACGCTGTTGCAAAGGTGGTGGCGCCCACAGCCAATAAGGAGGGGATATGCTAATTGACTGCCACACCCTTAAAGATGGTGGCAACCACAGCCACAAGATGGCAGCGCCCAGTCCCTTCAGCCCCGCGGGGGTGGCAGGCATGCAGCAAGACCAAGCTCGCCCCCAGGCAGGCCCAGCCACTCCGCACACCTGCCTCCGGAGACATCCAGTCCCCTCAGCCCCCCAGCTGCCCAGGGCCGGCACGAGGCACAGACAAGCCTCAGATGGTGGCTGCCCAGCCACCCAGGGCAGCCCGAGACTCAGGTAACCAGGGCTGGCCAAGGCTTGCACTGCCAGCAGTGGCAGCAGCAGAGGTATGATGGGGCGTCGCCTTCCCCTGATCGCCAGGTCGCCTCCCGCCCCTGACGAGGCAGGCCAGGCTGAGGGACGCCCCCCTCCAGTGCATGAATTTTTATGCACCAGGCCTCTAGTTAAAGGATAATAAAGTAATACAATGAACAACTCCTATGCCCACATATTTGATAACTAGATGAAACAGAGTAATTTCTTGAAAGAAAAAAGCTGCCAAAACTCTCACAAGAAATAGACAATCTCAATAGACCTATATATATTAAAGAAATTGACTTAATAATTGATAATTTGCTAAAGCATAAATTCACCAGGCCAGATGAGTTCACTAGAGAATAATACCAAACATTTAAGGGAGAAATGATACCAATTCTTAACAATCTCTTTCAGAGGATAAAAATAGAAGGAATGTTTCCTAGCTCATTCTGTGAGGCCAGTGTTACCTGAATATGGAAATCAGACAAAAACATTACAGAAAACCTCATTCCATTATCTCTCATGACCATAATACAAAAATCCTTGATAAAATATTAGCAAATAAAATCCAACAATGTATAAAAGACCAAGTGTGATTTAACCCAGGTATGCAATGCTGGTTTTAACATTCAAAAATCAACATAACCCATCACAACAGTAGATTAGATGGAACATATACCAGTAGATCAGTGAAGTTGTGTTGAGATACAGGAGTAGGCAGTGAACAGTTTTCTCCCAAAAGCTGACAGCCACTGCCCACCTAGCTCCTGTATGAAAAAATTACAAATTAATCCACATCCTCTACTTTAAGGGCTGCTCATGAATAGTCACAACTGGTTACGCCAAGTCCTTGAATGCTGAGCTGTTCTTACACCTCTACTGCACATGCTTTCATTCATTTCATTTAATACTCAAATTAACAGGCATGGTGTTCAATGTTTAATTTCCTAGGCTGCCCATATTTCCCACACATAAGGTGTAATGTGTTTAAAGTGCCTATTGCCATACCTGCCGAATGGTAAGCGCTCCATAAATGCTAACTCTGACATACGTATGTATTAAACCTTTACGATCTAGATTGTTCGGCTTATTTTTTGTGCTTGGGCTTGTGTTGCTGCCTGCTTAGGGCGTAGCTCTGCGCATCGTTCAGTACGACTCTGCTGTCTCCTAGGGTCACAGGAGAGTTGTGTTCTGGGGTGGTCTCCTCCGCTAGTTTTCCAGCTCATCTTGGAAGGTCTGTACAGCCTGTCCCCGCTGTTGTCAGTGCCAGGAGTGGTCTGTGCGCAGTGAGCACCCAGTAAACGCTGCTGGCTGCCGGCGGATTGATTTACTCCCACCTCCCTCCATCCCGTTAGGACACCCATCACTGCAAACAGAAGAACCTCCTTGTCTACATCTCCTCCACCCAGAACAGTCTCCCACATCTCCCTGCATCAGTGACTCTCATTTCAGCCTTTCTTCCCGTTCCTGGACCTTCCAACCCCTTTCCTCCCCCAACTATCATTTCAACTCAGTGTACACATTACTTAGTTTGGGAAAATGTTTCCCTTTGCCCCTCTGTCGGAATTCGCTGTACCCATTTCTATGGAGCCTCCCAGGATCAATGAGACAATGGCTCCAAGAGCCCCTTGTAAGAAGCAAAGGGCCCCGCGCGGACTGTCAGGAAACAACACACACTTTAGACCAGCAGCTGAGTCTCCAGGAAAGAACGCTCCCTCAGCGCATCTTCCCTGTGAAGCTGTGGGGGTGCGTGTGTTTCAAGGCCTTCCCTGAGGATGGGGGGCTGGGGTGGATGAAGCTGGGCATCTGGGTGAGACTCACATGCTGAGGCAGGTCTCCGGAGCCGATGAGTTCACAGTCCTCTGCCCGCTTTCGCTTCAGCCTCAGTCTAGGAATAGACCCCTGGTTTGAGCAAAAGGAAGGAAGTTCAAAAGAGGTAAAGCAAACTTCTATGCAAACCGTTCTCCCTAGAGCACTAAGCAGGTAGTGCTAAGAGCGAAGGTAACTCACAGCCTCTGGGCGGGTGCTGAGCAGAGCACCAAGGTTAGCGCCTACTTACCCACCTGCCGCTTTTTTATTCATACGACTCTGGGCTAATTACAGGATTTCACTGTATTTTCATACATGTAATAATCTAGTTTACCCTGTAAAGGATTAATTTACAATGCAATTAAACAGCCAAGGAGAACAAAATATTAAAATCAGCATGTGTTTAAATAAGATACAATATGTACAATTAGACATAACACACTCCCATATCTCAGTGTTTGATTTGCACAATACAAACAGGTCATTTGAGGCCAAGCAGAAACCAGTGGTGAGATGACCTTTAAGCTCCTGCCCAGTGGGAGAGTCCAGGACTTTGTGATCTGAGTGAAAAATGAAAACTTCAGAGCACCATGCAGATGTTTACAAGAATCCAGCTGTTTGATGTCAGGTGGATAAGACACCCAGACAACGGACAGGGGCATTCCACTTTCATCCAGATGTTGGTGCACGGTGCTGACTTAGCCTGACACACAGCGGCGTTACATGACTAATTCCAGGCGGTGAGAATCTCTCACTCTCCTGGCAGTGGACTTGTTTGGAGGTTTGTCATTTTGGGATCAGTAGCTCCGATACTAACAGCTCCTGCCCCACTGACAGCCTCTGGGTCCGTGAGATGAAATAATAGTCAGTCAGTTCTCCATTCTCCAGCTCTTTGCTCCCCTCTCCCTCCCCTCCTCCCCGGCTAAGGTCTGCGTTAACCTGGCCCCTGGCCCCTGACAAGGTGGCTCCTCCGTCACAGGCTGTGCACTGCGGCCCTTGTCTTTGCAGCTGCTCCTGTGCACGGTGATCCCTGTCCCTGGGGCATTATTATTGGGCCACACACTGGTCAGGTCAACCTTCTGGGCATTTTAAAGGTTGATTGCAGGATAGACCATCACAACCGCCAGTCACCCTCCCATAACCAGGCTACAGAGGACCACTCATCTCCATGTGGCTGTGGTGCACGGGCCTGGCTGAGGTGACGGATGCTGATGAGAAGCTCTGTCCACATCCATAAACCGCACCGCTGCCCTTGATCTGCAGCTGCAGCTTCTGTATGCAGAGCCCTGTGCTGTTTGCAGA